ATTGAGAGCATCCCATCCTCCGAGGACTTGGAGCGAAAATCATCAAGTGAGGAAAACCCAAACACCTAAAAAACCAAAGTGATGGAGCATCACTGAAGAGATTGTTCCTGTGTGGAACCGATGCTTGTTACCTTTGAGGACTGTGTATCCTCCAGACAGTTAGGCGTCATGGTCTGAGCATCCAAGAGGAATTGTGGATCGCCGAGTGACCAAGTATGTGAAGGTTTGGAAGTCACATGTGAAGACTTACCACGAGTGTTGGGCGAGGTCTGTGTGATCTTAGCTCAAGGAGAATACGGTGAGGACTGTGTGTCCTCGAGTTTAAATACTAAGCCGATCCAACCAGACGTACAACTGTCACAACAGTTGGAACTGGTCTACCAAATCTTTATCTTCACCAAGCCTACTGGTTCTATTTCCCCAACCCTTTCATTTCCTCATTCATGTGTTGATGAACCTGATCATTACTGTTTGAAGACTTTAACTGAAGACTTTCTCTATTTCCTCAATCCAATTTCTTCAGTCACATTGTCTTCAGCCTGCTTATCCTGTGTTTACGCTTTATGTACTCCGTGTTTGTTTTTCATTTCATCATGATGACTCTGCTATTGCTCTGTTATGCTTATACCTGAGTACTTATTCTGCTGCTAGTTGTTCGTGACTTAGAAATTTCCTCACCCTGAAATTCCTCAGTGACGAATTGTTTAAAAATCACCTATTCACCCCCCTCTAGTCGACTTAACGCACTTTCAAATAGCTCCACCAAAATGCAACCATCATGTGCAAAAAATGCACAAGCTGATACAACCACTCCGTAGAGCAGTACAACCGTCCAACTCTCGTAAAACAATCTGTAGGAGTGGTACAAACGCATCATACAGAAGGCGTTGCCCAGGCCTAAACATAAGCGATATAACCGCTAGAGCCAATGGTGGTGCCGATTATTTTTTAAATATCCAGAACAACCGCTTTGGCACTGCCCAAAGTACCACTGCCGGACTCAAGGAAAAAAATGGGCGGTAGTTGAGCCCGTAGTACCGCTCCAGGACAAGGAGCGGCACAAACGTACTTTGCGGCTGGTACAATCGAGGCGTTGTGCCCCGGTTGCCCCACTCCACAAAGGGAGCAGTACAGCCGTTGGCTGATTTCTACTAGGTTGAATTATGGTTTCTCTTCTCGAATGGGTATGGAAGTAAATGTGGGTGAAATATGTATTTCGTGTATGTGATTTGATTCCACACGTACCTTTCGATGTGGACCCCCTCTTAACAGTACGGATTTTCTACAACCAAAGCAATAAAAGCCAAAAATGTTGTCTTCACTCTTTTCCCTTCAGAGGGGCACCTAACCGTCGTGTGCCATATAAACATGCATGTGTAGCTCATGCACATGGTTAGTCCGCAAAAATGGGTTGTAATCAACACCAAAACACTTAAGCCAGAAATTGTCCTTTCAACCACGACCGAGGCGACCCCCTCTAACCGCCAGACCGTGCCGAGGACTCTAACCTATTGTGCCTTCACAGTTCCAACAAAACAGGCAAGCAGACCCCCTCCCCCTGCCTGTTCAAGATACAAGGGATTTGGTTTGTGAACTTCCGCAAGCACACGATCTATACTTTTTATGTGAGGCAGTTCTTTATTTGAGACACCACTTGTTGGCACTATAATTTAGGTAATTTATTGATTCCTTGTAGCAAAATCCATAACATAACTTGGTTGCTTTTGATTTTCAGCATCTCTTGTGATGATTTGGCAATATCAACATTGTCTTGCTTTGCCTAACGTCCATCACATGACCAAACATCCAAAACATTTATGTCTGAACAATACCTGCAGAACAAACCAATGCAATTTCATTCTCAATTACACCAACACTAATGTTGTCGCTTTGATAGTTATTTACAGTGAGCCATTTGCGTTCCCCTTCAGTATGTATATTTGTTGTTGTAAAAAAATGTTGCTCCGTAGTAGCCCACGCTAAAAATTCACAAGTATTATTTGCCGAGGCTGTAGTCTGCAAAGTATTGATGTTCAACCATCAAATTATTGATAAATCTAAGCAATAGTGCCAACTTTCATTAGCACTTGGGATTTTCTATATGTTTTTTGATTTTCAGTCAGCAACAATGCCCATGCTTCTTACATTTATCTGGAGCCCCAAAATGCAGATGTGCTTTTACCTATGGTATACTACTAACTATCTATATCAAACAAAGTATGTCATTTCCATAGTTGTGGGCATCCCTGGACAATAGGTAGTGTACTTGGGCAGAAAAACCTGTTTGACACATGAATAGGGAATTAGGGTTGGAAGGATCAATTTAGCTATTAGTGACTTTCTATGCTCCTTTTGCATAGGACAATACAACGTTGAATGGATTTTACGATTCTGATAATATATCATAGAGAACCAAGATAATGGCATGTGCACATGCCAGTGTCGTGCAAAGTGTGATGCATACCAACAAGCATTTGTGCCATAAAGCGATAAAAAAAGGGTGCTATCATATGGTACCAAAGGTTACTATCATATGTTATCGGTTTTCAGCCGGTTTTCCTTATTAACTGGTCAATTTTCTTCTTATAAGTGAAAAGGCATAGCTCATGTTGGTTCCTAAAAAATGGTACATGTTTATGGCCTTTTCCCTATTCTCCTTTGCCATTTATTTATCTGGGCACTTGCTAATTTTACAAGTTACGTATTGTATATGCCATGATGTGTTTGGTGCCTTGAGATATATAGTAAGGTGACACAATGTCTTATCTGCCTTTTTATATTGTGAAAGGAATGAAAATTTGATGCAAGCTGATTGCATATTATGCATCTTGACCAACCTATTGACGATGTTTAGCTCATGATTCTCATATTGTTCCAGGAATCTAGTTATAGAAGGATCGGGAAGGGGGAGCTCTCCTCTTTTCTGCCCGACTCTTTGTGTAACCAGTTGCTAGATGATGTTGCTTTCTGATGTCATTTGTAGGTGTAAATCACAGTCACAACAAAGGTACGATGGTCCTGCTAGCGGAAAAGAAGGCACATATTGTTGACCTTACATGGTAACTTCTATTAGGCACACGGTTTGCCAACACCTTGATGCTACCTATTTTGTGCAAATACTTGTACTACAACCTGATTGAGTATATGTTATGAAGGAGCTCGTTTGGGTATGCAAACTTGCCTCGCTCCTTGGTGCCGCTAGCTATGAAATCTGATGCTCCTTTTGTCAATATGTTGCCAGTTTTTCCACGACAAATGATTTTTCTGATTAGATAGGCTCTATAGAGATCCTTTTCTCAGCATGTTGCTAGTTTCACGACAAAGGATTTTCTTAATTAGATGCATGTGCATGTGTTCACATTGATGTTCCAAAGAGCTATCAAGACATGTGATGTGATGTTAGTTTCATGGACCTTTGCAAAACATGTTGTGTTTTTCTCTTTGTAAATGAAGTTGCCTTATGCTCCTATTTGTTTCGCCCAAGGTCTACCTGAGAAGATTCATAAGTGGTATTCAGCTTCAATATATAGCACCAAGATATGGAAAAATGCTACTTTCATATGATTATCAATCTTTTAACTAACCGTCTGATGCGATAGTGTGAATGTGTTGGCGACATGACGTGTACATACTCATAACTATAACGACTCATACTGGATGGTGGTGAGGAGAGGGGGTCGAACATGTGGCTACCTGTGGGTGAAACAGACGGCATGGAGTCCCCCTGTCTAAACTGGCTGAATTCAAAAGGACTTGCACCACTCAAATCTAAGAAATCGGACTCCAGTTTCCTAGCATGATCAATCAAACAAGACACTCCATTTGTCCGAAAATACTTGTCATCAAAATGGATAAAAAGGGATGTATCTATAACCAAAATACGTCTAGATACATCACCTTTTAGTCATTTTGATGACAAGTATTTCCACACGGAGGGAGTAACAATTTACACGGCTAGGTAACTAGGCGCATAGGATTGTTTTCTTGGAGGAAACAAATCTCAGATGTAGTGAATTGAGCGATATATTTGTGAATCTGGTGTTATTTTCATTTTATTCCAATTTTGGCATCAGACTAAATGAATGGATTCATTTGATTGTCTTTGATCCGAGACATATTATTATACATGTGACATACGTGTTAGCTAGGATCAATGAGAAAATTTCCCTTCAGGTTATATGTGTTGCATGTACGCGTTTACTAGTTCATTTAGTTCTAGAATCTCCTGGTTCCATTTGATTTTGAGCCAAAAAATCGTTAAGGCCAAAAAGATTGACGTCGACCACATGATGCGCATATTTGGATGAGAGACAACTATTTGGCTTGCCAACACTGCAAAATAGCAGTATCACGCACAAATCATATAAAAAAGTCTGACGCAAAGTAGAACTATTAATTTTGAACCCTAATAGGAAAATAACTTTCTCTCGGTTATGTTTTAGGAGGAAGCCCATGCTTTAGGAGGCTCCCGCGAGCGGAAGATGCTTTTCGCGTTAGGGAGCTCCCCCAAGCGAATAATGTCTAGCGACCGTTCGCTTTGAGAGGATATGTGATGAACCATTCCGCTGTTATCTCAGAAGGGTGATGGAAGCGAACGCACGCAAAATAGGACTATTTAGCGGTTCTGGCGCTTTTGCTAACAAAAACGTTCCATAGGCACGTGGCGTCGGGACAGCCCAAATTTTGGTAGCCAAGTTCTTTCGAACCGTCGCAGTCGGATGAAAATTTGAACCGGACTTGAACCTGGGCCAGCGCCAACCGCGTGCCACCTCCACCGACACGTGGACACCTGCGCCGCCCCCGCTCACGCGTCGTCCCTCTGGCCACCTCACCGCTCCGCCCGAAGCGACCAGAAAGGGACCAGTACCCGAGCCAAGCGGCGAGCCGGCGAGCCACCGCCCCCCGCCTCCCCTCGCTCCCCCCGCGCGGTATCCTCCCCTCCGTCCCGCCCCGCGGCCGCAGCGCTCCGCAGATCGACCCCTCGCGACCGCGCGACCGCCATGGCGTCCTCCTCCTCCGCGACGTCCGGCGACGACCGGCCGCCGGCCGCCGGGGGCGGGACCGGGACCCCCGCACAGGCGCACGCGGAGTGGGCCGCCTCGATGCACGCGTACTACGCGGCCGCCGCCTCCGCCGCCGGGCACCCCTACGCCGCGTGGCCGCTGCCGCCGCAGGCCCAGGTACGCGACGCGATCCTCCTCTCCTAGAGCCGCAGACCCGCGGCGGCGGGGCGGTGTTGTTGCCTTGTTGGTGGTGGGACTTTGAGTTCTGATCATTTTTTTTCCTCTTTCGCGGAGGGACGCAGCAGCACGGCCTGGTGGCGGCCGGGCCGGGGGCGGCGTACGGCGCGCCGGTGCCGTTCCCCATGTACCACCACCCCGCGGCGGCGTACTACGCGCACGCGCACGCCTCCATGGCCGCGGTAAATGCCGAGCTCCCCTCCCTCTTCTATTTTCTAGCGAAATTGGACCTGACCATACGTGCTTGTACGGCTCCGTATGAAATTGTTTGCTGCGTTCTGTGCAGGGGGTGCCTTACATGGCCGGTGAGTCTGCGTCGGCGGCGGGGAAAGGGAAGAGGGCGGGGAAGACACGGCGTGTCCCTTCCGGCGAGATCAATTCCAGTTCCGGGAGGTGCGTGGTTTCTGTGCTAGCATGCGTGCGTGCTCTTGTTTGTCTGTTGGCCGGATGGACTGAACTGAAATCAACTGATATGGCTTGCACAGTGGCGATGCCGGGAGCCAGGGGTCATCGGAGAAGGGAAACGCCGGCGCCAATCAGAAGGTGCCTCGTTTGGCATTGTCTGAATTATGCTTTTCTAGCAATCTTTGACTGATAGTTTTGGTTGTTCCACAATTTCACATATGCTTATGTAATCTGTCCAGGGCTCATCATCATCCGCGAAGAGGAGGAAGTCCGGCGCTGCAAATACAGAAGGTGGGTTATCAGTTATCACAAACCATAATTCCTGGATACAAGGTATGATGGGTTAGTTTGAAAAGACAATGACAGGACCAGTTACACTTAGTACAAAGGAAGAAGTGGGCTTGGATTTGTGTCATTGTGTCGGTTCGCATCCTTGTGCGGGCACCATTGAACCCTAAGAGAGTGCTGTAAGGGAGTAGTTTGTCTATGTTGGTAGTATGTGGGAATGACAGTTGGCATTTTCAGGTGAGCCATCTCAGGCTGCCACAGTGCAGAATGCTGTAACCGAGCCGCCATTGGAAGACAAGGAGAGGTCTGCATCCAAACTGTTGGTTTTGGCACCTGGGAGGGCGGCACTCACCAGTGCTGCACCAAACTTGAATATTGGGATGGATCCCTTGAGCGCTTCTCCATCCTCCTTAGTACAGGGGGAGGTGAACGCCGCAGCTTCTTCCCAGAGTAACGCTTCGCTGTCTCAGATGGTATAGTTTTCCTTTATGAATTCTTTTCTTCAAAGGAAGATCTCTGTTTCTTCCAGACTTCCAACCTCTGGACTGTCATGATTTTTTGAGAGCGTCGTAAATTGGTAATTGTCATGAATGACCTGTAGTTTTCCTCTCATTTTGGAAAATATGAATAGTGCAGTTACTTGCGACTCGGTTTTACTTTAGCCCTCTTTTATAAAAATGTGGTGACAAATAGCATGTGAATGTTTTTCATATTGCATCTTATATGATTAATTGATTATAACAACCATACCCTTGAGGCTGTGACAAGCAATCAATCTCTAACAGTATATATTACCCAAGCCGCACCTAAGTCAGAAATTTTATGCCTGCGAATACCATTGATTATTAAATATGAACCTATAGCTACTGGTCACTCATGACCGCCCGGATGTCTGCGTGAGTGAATTTTTGCAATGTTCTGCACGATTTATCTTTGTTTTTGTAGGATGAACGGGAACTGAAGAGGGAGAGAAGGAAACAATCCAACAGAGAGTCTGCAAGGAGATCAAGATTACGCAAACAGGTACAGTCAGTACTAAAGACGAACAATCTCAAGTGGGAATGTGGAAAAAAATACGTCACACAATGTTTTGTACTTTCCTGTACTTGTTTAATTCCTGGTGAGTGTGTGGCACTAGAAGTAGAGAAATGATAGTTATAAAATTTACGTTCAACATTATGGACGTTTGACTGTTAAGTTAGGTCCGCACAAGGATCTCTCCGCATGAGAATGCTCCAGATAGGTTATGCTGGACATAATGTCTGAAACAATCACCTCCGGCCTGATGGCCTGGTCATCTTGGAAGCATTTCTCTCGCTTTTACTGCTAAAATAGGATTACCCAGATTTTATTGTTTCAGAAATTTAAGCGATGGATTTGTGGGGAAGTATGCAATCACTAAAAGTTTTGGCCAACTGGGATCATCTCAGGCTTCCAGAAGTTTAATTAGAATATACTTTCTACTGCTTCTTGAGCAATGCTGCCCAATATACTTGATTTGTTTTAACTGGACTTGATCACAGTAGGGATGTTTATTCAAGTGTCCCTATGAGCCATTACCTGCATGTTGCTAAAATTATCTTCTGGGGATAATATACCTGACATTCTGAACTCAGCTGAACAGCGAAACATATCCAGTTTAGGCAAGTAAGACAACACTGTATCGATTTTCCAGGCCAGCAAATGAATTAACTTAAGATTATTTGATGGTATAAAATTTCACCGTTGAAACAGTATACTAATTGATCTCGATTTCTTCTTATGCTACCTAGCAAGAATGCGAAGAGCTAGCCCAGAAGGTAAGTGAGCTGACCGCAGCGAACGGCACGCTCAGATCAGAACTGGACCAGCTTAAGAAGGACTGCAAAACCATGGAAACAGAAAATAAACAGCTGATGGTGAATGCCACACCCCTCTCTGGCCATGCCCTTGATGGCAAAGTTATTTTCATAACTCAATCTTACTGCTGACTGTAACCAGTGGTTTTCTGATCAATGCAGGGTAAAATACTAAGTCACGATGATAAAATGCAGCAGTCAGAGGGCCCTAGCGTTGTGACTACCCTGAGCATCCAGGTCGAAGCGCCCCAGCCGCATCATGGAGGAGACGGCAAAGCTTCATAAGAAATGCTCAACAGCAACAGCGAGGGGTTGGATCGAGTGCCAACCAGGAAGTAGAAGTCGAGAAGATTGGTGGAGTTCCCTATTATCTAACCCCGCCATCGCCCGATAGCGTTTCACCCCCCTTTTGAAGCTCCATGATCATACTTGGTTTTTGGTCTTTGTCGTGGCTGGTCAATGAGTTGTTTGTAAAACAAGGTGTAGATAAATGTATGATAGATTACTATATTTGTTGTTATATTTTGGTGTACTAACAAGAAGTGACATCCGGGCTGTTGAAGAGCTCTAGCTGGTATGGTAGTGATACCGTGTTCGGTATCATCCAAGGAAGCTTTCCTTCGATAGTGGTTTAGTACATGCTACAGCTGCAATAAATTGGACTGCAACACTGGTAGAACTGTCTTCGGTACCTGGCGAGTTCCTCTCTCTGCCCGGCTGGGCTGAAACGGATGAACGTTCTATTTTCATATTTTCAAAACAAATCTGAATGTGAATATACATATTTTCAAAACAAATCTGAATGTGAATATACAAATGTGGAACGAATGTTACCTGAATACGGATACCTATCAGATGTTTTTGCTGTTTTTGCTCAATTCGGAACAGACACAAAAGAAATAAATCAATAGTGTAATTCGAAATAATCGACTTGCAACATATAATAAGTCAGCTAATGATATGTTTATGAATAAATCTACTATAATGTATAATGATTCCTAAGTTTGGTCATATAAAAGTTACATTTGAGAATTTACTAGGGTTTTATGTTCAATAATTGGCATATTGGGGCTAAAATTGCTTAACTAACTCATGAAGTTTTATTTGAATGAATATATTCATTTCCATTTCCATATTTGTGTCAAAATCTTGAACCGTATTTGTAAAACAAATTTGGATATCTATTGTCTCGGTCATGTCGTGTGGCTACACGTATTATATGCATGGCCCCTATATAATTACTTTGAGCTAAGATATATGAAGAAAATCATCCGAACTAATCTAAACTACCACTAACAAAACATCTATCTTTTTAACCATAACAACTAAAAAGCAATGATGATGGCGTCAAAGATGAGTTGAGGTCGCGGCTCGGTCTATGGTAGGCGGCTCTTTCTGGTGTGTTTGATGTTCTCTTTCATGGTTCGCTTGGTTGTTGTGGAGTTGGAGCTGCGGTGGATTGTGTCCAGGCGGTGACAATGATAGGCACTCGGTGGCTGTTGCGGGGGACTCAGACAGTGCAAGCCATGCTTATTTCCCTCGCGATCGTCGTCAAAGTTGGTGCTATTGTTCGTTGGCGCGTGTGGCCAATTGTTGGCATACGTCGTCATTGTGCAGCTGTTTGTAGGCTAGCTTTGCCGATGGGGTTCTACGGTGAAGTCAGTCACTTGTTCGGAGGCAATCGGTGATGACGATGACGCTTGCGGCACCTTGATGGATGTCTTTTCTTCTTTGCATCTATACTGTCCATGTCGGTGACCAGGTTGAGCGGTGATGCACATTCTACATCGGCTGGATTGTATTGGTTTTCGCCAGATTTTTCACAAACTAACCTCACAGTTCCCGCTCTCTTAATCGTTGAAACGACAAGTCTTTTGCCTCGTTTCAGGAGAAAATAAAAAGTCTCCGCACAACAAAGAAAATGAGTGATTTTTTTTATACAAAAGTAAAAAGATGAATTTGCAATGAGCTTATTTATAATTGCCGTGAGTTTATTAGAGTTGCCATGATCTCATCTCTTTCTTGAGTGAAAGAGTTGCCATGGGTTCATCGTTTTTTTCAGGAGAGAGCAACAAACCACACGAGAAGCATCCTTGCATATTTTTTAGGGTCACGAGAGGAACCCTTAGCAACAATGGCACAACCCCTAAAAAAAGCAACGATGGCACAAAGCTGCTGCTACGGCTCTTCAGGCCCATACAGATCAAACGCGAGGCCGCTGGAACGAACCTCCCCAGACCGCGCCTCCCGTCGTGACTCCCTTCGCTCCCGCGACTGCTGCGCTTCGGTTTTTAGTACCACCTCGCCCAGCCGAGGAGAATCTAACGGGAGAGCTAGCTATAAGAGGAGGGCGAGGTGCTACGTTCTCCTTACTTACCTGGACGGGGTCGACGGGCGATCAAGAAGGCCCGTGGCCTGGGTCGATGGCCCACATTGCACTTGGTGGGCGCGTTGGCCCATCATCTCCCCAAGTGGGAGAGTGAACGTCATAATTTGTGATAGAGGGGGTACGCGTTCGCGCGGCCCCTGCCAATTCTTTCAAATTAAACATTTGTCCCTTGGCTGGCATGCTTTACAAGTCCGTTTTTACAATCCAGTCCCTGGTCTGGTTCATCTGCTGCACGTAGAGAGGGAGACAACAGTTCATCTGAGCAACATGAACAACCTAGCGATGCATAATCTGGTGTTCTTCACCTTCCTGTTACAACCAAGTAAAAGTTTGGCGAGAATTTCACTTCTGCACACGCAAAAAGATTCGGAGTAGTTAGATAGGGCTGAATAAAGTCACTGCAGTCTTGAGCTTATTATAACCTGTCAGTTCAAAGCAAGTAGAGACAAACACCCCGAATTTAGCCTGAAACTAAGTTGCGCTGAACTGAAAAAACAACACGCGTGCAAACTAAAACCAAACCATGCGCCCGTCCGGTAGGAGAATCCCTTGCTCACACATTGATAAATCCATAAGGCCCCGCCATGTCATGCCTCTTGAGGCAAAGCTACACTTGGAACTTTGTCAGTTGGAGGCTTCCAGCAAAATAAGAAGAATCAGCAAGTAGTTGAACACCTTTTTTTTTTGAACAAGTGAACACCGTCTTTAATTAAGCTCTAAACACCAGAGGATGGAACTAGCTGCAACAACTTCAGAGATCCTGCCCGTCGTGAAACATCTACGACACATGCTGCAGAAAGGCCACTGTTTCTGCTCTGTTCTGTTCTCTGCTGTTAGAGCGATTTTTTGGAACAGATTGGTAGTGCTGGCTTAAATAAAGATAAAAAACATTTTTCATGCGTGCTGAACTCCACGCTGGCTACAGCCTCTCACACGTTGAGGCAGTGTGTTCTTCAAACATGAGAAAAGAAAGAAGCCATTCATGGAACTGAAGGTACACAACACAGGAGGTACAGTGAGACTGCAACATGCCCAAGATGAACTATCTGCACTAACTTAGTACTGTAGTACAAGTGAACATGAGATATATTTCAGTTCCCGGAGCAGAGTTAAATCGATGTACAAAGTGAGCTTGTTACCCATTCCAACTGCCACAAGAGTAAATCAACAGTTTTGGCGTTCCTTTTGCACGCTTCTGTTCTAGTACTATTCATTAAGACAAACTGACAAAGCACGTGCAGAAGCATGTACACTGAAATTTAGTCAATGCAGCCTAGAAGCTTGAAACTTGTCACTCATGTCATGGAGCAGCTTCGACCAAGTGTTGTGGGCTACTGCACCAAAGCGTTTATCAAAAAAATTACTTTTTTGTGAACAAGATATGCAAAGCGGACAAAAAATATAATGATAAATACTAACAGTTATGCCAGCCTATAATGCCTCTGTTGCTCTAGCACCTACAGTTTATGATTGCAACAAACTTTTCACAAGGAATTTGGCTAAACGACCATGAAACTTGGTAGCCCATAAAAATAGAGTAGAAAATCGTGCATAAACATGCGGTCTTTGTGGTTTGGAGGCTTCCTTATGCCGGATAATTGTGTCCGATACTTTTCACCTTGATGCTGTGATGCAAATGGTTCTTGAGATCCACTGAAGTGCGCAACCAGCGTTATAATGAAATCACTAACCTGCACTTCTTTTTGGGTGGGTCGATGGGGCTGGGGGCTGCAGTAACATGTAACTGTAGTGGATACTTTGAGCTTACCAAGTCACTTTGCATCAATTGTTGAGCATGCTACATACAATTTCCAAGTCATCCACAACCATTAACAAGGTGAACCTGTGTAAGGTCGTATACCTACCTTACCAGTAACCCATGAATGGTTGGTGACTAACATAAATCCTGTAGTACATCTCCATTTCATCATCACGATCTCAATGCGTGAGTGGTCATCTAGCTAGTGGTCTCCACAATAAATAGTACTAGTATGTTATCTTCATGCTATGGAGCAAGCCACCACGACCAAATTCATCTAACTATGTGAGAAGTGTAGCTGAAAAAAAATATATTTGAAAACGCAAGTTTTACGGGCAAGCTACATGTCGGTCGAATAGGAAGAGGAGTCATCTGGAATCAAAAGCTTCCCTGCTGGCCTGCCTATCTGTAGGACTTGTTGGATACTAGTGAGCCACAATCACGGCTAAGTGCGCTAACGCTCAAGCGACTTGAGCATGCACTGCCCATTGTTCATCGCCTACACACAATCATCCTCGGCAGCTGTTAGGACTCCACCGCAACCTAGCAAAAACGCTGGTTGCACCTTAAATATTTGCACGACAGTGAGCCAGAAGGGAGGTATTAGTTGCGAAACTCTTTGTCATCTCAAGCAAGGGCTTCCTTTCTTGGGAACCTCAACACTGTAGCTCACCTCGACGTGCGAAGCAGCTCGTTGTAAACAAGGTAGAGACGCTTTGACTTTTGAAATGTTAGCGTAAATTTCGTCATACTGTACTAGAGGTGCTTGTAATGGAATATTAATCTCTCAGTTATTTGAAAAATGCTAAAGACGTCACGATGATAAAATGCAGCAGTCAGAGGGCCCTAGCGCTGTAACTACCTTGAGCATCCAGGTTGAAGCGTCCAAGTTGATCGTGTGTAACTACCTTGAGCATCCAGGTTGAAATGTTGTGGGCTACCTTGTTGATCGCCCCGCTGGGAAACAGAGGCTACCGGCCCATACGCCTATTCTCTCATCCTTCCTTCAGCCTCCCTTCGCCCCGGCTGCTGGTGTGCTTCGAATTTTAGTCCCACCTCGCCCAGCCGAGTAGCATCGAGAGGAAGAGCGGGCTATAAGAGGAGGGCGAGGTGCTACGTTTTTCTTACTTACCTGGA